TCAGAAGTTGTGAGCTGGCCAGGTGTTGTGGACACCTCGGCTAGCTGTCTGACTGTGAGCTGTGACAAGGCTTCCATCTGCATATGCAAACACACATGTTGTCAGTGATAGTTGTGGTTATCACAGAGGGAAACCCCACCCCACGAGAAAACAGATGTATAAAGACAGAAAATGCAGTGCATCATAACGCACCGCTGAGAAGTTGGAGTAGATCGTCTGAATGTCCCGGAACGTCGCAAGATAGGCAAAACCTCCCATGTTCACCTGCAGCCATTGTGCACTGGTGACAATGCCTGAGCTGCAGGCGGGGTCTGAACCACAAACACACACAGAGGAAATTCAGCTTTACTGTGCTGAAGGAAAAGCATCTATCATACATTGTTATGTCACTTTGCAATACACGTGACCACCCTGGATTACAGTATTCCTGAATCCCACTAATCTATCAACATGTGTGAATGTTGGATTAATTCAGATGTGACGTGAACAATACATAGACTGTAACTGTTAATAGGCTGCCATTGATTGTTACTGGGCTGTAATACAGCAGTGTACCTGTGCTGTTGTTCCTGGTCAGGAAAACCTTAATGAAGTGCGTGTAGACAGACACCTGCCTGCCAAACGTCAATTGTGGCCGGAGTTGACTCAAAATCTGCAGACTGAGTTGAAATTGGGATTAGATTAATTAAAAAATGGCAGGCTTTTGGTATACCAAGAAAGGCAATCACATTTGATGTAATTTGTATGGTCTAATTTCTTACATGGCCTGGTAGGAGCTGCAAGTAAGGTCCCTTGTGGACATACATGAAAGGAAGTCAGGTGAAACAGCTGGCAGAAATGGGAGAAGGCGGCGGCCAAACCACGTCTGGATGAAGGCTGGATCATTGAGGGTGGCCGTGCTGACAGTATCTATTCGGAGTTCTTGTATGGTGTCCAGAATCACGGACACTGCTGGGTTGTTGGCATCCAGAGTCTATAACAAAGATCAAAATGTGATGTAACTACTGACTTTTCTTATCCTTCAACAACAGACGGTTTGCAGAAGGTTCTTCTCGTCTTACAAAATATTGTGTAATGCTTTCATACCATGTTGACGAGCAGATCCAGAGCCTGGTCCAGGACCTGAGAGGTTTCGGAGAGGAGAAGTTTCCAGACAGGTCTGGACCCACTCGAGCTGGACGAACGGTTGCACTTCAGTATCATTGCCAGCTGTTCTGCTGTTATTGTTGACAGCTGCGTGACGACAGAGAGCAGTTTAGACTCTACAGTGAAAGTGAAAACGAATCACAGACGGCTGTTGAC